TTCCACCCATGATGTTGTTTGAAACCGAACCATCAGATCCATGACGTCAGGGTCTCCCATGTATTTCTGGAATGCCTGAAATCCATTTTGTCGCACGTCTTCCATAATCGCGCGGAACTTCGGGTTGTTTTTTACCTCGTCCTCCTGAAGTTGTTCAAGTCGCTCACGATTAATATTTCCAAACGGAGTGCGCATAGTACCATCGTCGTTCGTCCCACTTAGGCCCATGCTTCCAAGAGATTGAAGGAGCTCTTCCGGATTCGCTGACCCACCTCCAAAGCGTGAGGCCATGTTTGCTACCAGTTGGCTGAATTGTGGATTTTCCAACATTCGTGTGGTGGTCTCAATAAACTGGGGATTGTTCATCATTTGTGCGATCTGAGAGAAATCCGGCATCCCTCCTCCAAAGGGAAAACCGCCCGCCGCAGAACTTCCAGATGAAGCATTTCCCATAAGTTTGAGTTTTTCCTCCGCTTGTTTCAAGTCCTCTTTGTATCGATCATTCGTAGGATCAAGTTCACTGGCCTTTGCAAAGGCATCGACAGCACGTGCATATTTTTCTTGGTAAAAAAGTGATGTACCCAAACGGGAGTAAGCCTTTGAGTAATTTGGATTAATGGCAATGGCACGTTCACAATCAATAACTGCACTGTCATAGTCCTTTAAGTGTGTATGCGCAGCAGCACGATTGGCAAAAAACACGTGATTCTCTGGCTCCATCTCAATAGACTTCGTATAGTACGCAATGGCCTCCTTGTACTTTGCCATGCCCATTAGCTCATTGCCCTTGTTCTTAATCTCTTCTGCGCTCATCCCTTGGTACGGGTTGTTCCGCATCTCGAACTTCTGCTTTGCCTTCTCCAAGCGGCTTGCATACTCTTCCGTCCCGGGCTCTGCCCCTGCGAAGTACCCCTTCTTCTGAATGAGATCGAGAAATGCCTTGAACTTCTCATTCTGCTGTATGTTTTCCTTCGACTCTTGACTCTGAAGCGCCTGGCAAAAGGCCTCAAAAACATCCACTCCGGTGTCATGACATCCGCCCACACCGGCGGGGTTGACGCCATATTCATCTCCAAGCAGTTTGACAATGGTGTTCACGCGTTCCGGGTCGGGTGAATTCACCCCACGAAGCATGCGCATAAAAGAGAAGACAAGCTTCCGATGCTCCTCCGTCAGAGGCTGAGACGTGGTAGAGTGAGCCTCCGCAGTATCACTCATCATTTCTCGGTTCCAAACTTAACTTTTCCCCACAACAACAGTTTTTCTTTTTTATTCGACACCCCCCTCTTCCAGTCAGGCAGAATTATCTTTATTTATTTATTTATTTTAAAGAGATAAAAGTAAAACAATTCAGAAAGTCAAAATAATAATAATAATAATAAAGGAAATTAACAACAAAAAAACGCAATATATATATATATATATATATATATATATATATATATATATGTACCATCTAGATACCCACACCAATCAAAGTGCATCTCAAAATGCATAACGACCAGTGTTTTAAAGAAAGAAGACATAACTTTATTTTCTACAGCTAATTACGCCTACTCTCTCCCCTCTCACGCCTTATCTATCATTGTCCTCGTTGCGTGCATCCATGGGCCATGGAAGAGGTCCATTACTTCTTGCCGCCCTTAAGCTTAGCGATGGCCTCCTTCTCGGCCCTCTGCTGTTCACGCATCCTTTGTTTAAAAGCAATGTCCGCCTCGTCGTCATCCAGGCGCTCCTTCTTGGGAGCCTTGAGAGGCTTCTGCTTGCCGCCCTGACGGGAGGACATTGTGGGGGGATGTCTTCGTTGTGGCTGGAGCGGTCGCTTGCGCAGAACAAAGATGAGAGGAAGAAGACAACAAGAGAAATTGCACACCCACACGCACATATATTTATTTATATTTATATATGCTCGTTAAGCGTTTTGCAGAAACAAACACGCTCGGAAATAATACAGTTGCAGAATGTGCACCTGGGCCGCTAGCCAGTTCCTGAATTTAGCAATAGTGGTAGCCAAACAAAGTGGGTATAATAAAGGAACGGACGAAACAATATTGGACACGCTTCATCCTCAAAGTTCCGCACCAAGTATAAATAAAAATGAAATAATTGAAGTCCTCTAGACTTTATTGGATCCCTGATTCCCAGAATCGCGATCAGCCAAAAAAAAACATAAAGTAGGAAAAAAAGGTCGTACAGAGTTAGCTTTATCGGAATACATAAATATCAAATTAGATACTCCGCTTACCCCGCGA